ATCAGCCGGGTGTGGTAGCGCATTCCTGTAATTCCGGCTACTTGGAAGGCTGAGGCGGAAAGATCGCCGGAGCCCAGCAAGTTGAGGCTGCGGTGGCTGGGAGCAACCACTGTACTCCAGTCTGGGCGACAGAGTGAGACTCCAACTCAAAAAAAAAAAAAAGAAGATTAAATGGACCATTGCTTTGTTAAACTGTGGTCTGGCCATGTGGCTCTTTGAGCTATGGCCGCCATATCTTCCTAAATGAAATAAAGATTAAATGAAATAAAGATTCTATGCATGGCACTATGATATGATAAGCACTCAAATGCAATAATTTGAATTATGATTACTGCTTTTATTACTTTTACTTTGGCAACAAAATCAGGCCTTTCATTACAGAATAAGTATTATTCTTTCAACAAAGTTCCAAGCACCTACTTTGTGTAAGATACCACTTAGCCCTGGGAAAGATACAAAGAACAGTCAGATGCTTTCTATTTGAGGAGATGACTTTTATACCAAAAACCAAAACAATCTTAAAAGTTCCCATTTGCTGCATGGTTAGTGTATGCCAGGCACTATTGCAATGTTTTGCATGATTCCATCAAATCCAATTCAACTTAGTTTACAAGAAGGAAAAAAATCAAAAGCTGGTATTTAAACCCAGGTCTATCTGCAAAGCCTATATGCTCTTAGGGAGGCTGAACCTACCAAGTTTAAGTACCAGCCAAGATGTTTAAACAATTCATAACAAGAGATGCTGTTTATCAGGACGTACACCATGACATGCAGAGGCGTTATTTGATCCCAAGTTCCTATTTCCAAACCTGCGCATATGACTTCAGTGGGCCTAGAAAAGGATCACTTCTAGATATGTAGCCAGGAAAGAAGGGAAGAGGAAGAATAGAGTCCAGACAAGCATAAAGAAGCTATGTCAGCTGTCCCTAAAACCATCTCTAGATTTGATGATATGTCAATAACTCACAGAACTCAGTATATCATCCTACCTATAGCTATAATTTATTATAGCAAAAGGATACAAAGTAAAATCAATAAAAGGAAAAGACTCACAGGGCAAAGTCTGATCGAAATCAGGTGCTTCCAAGGATCCTCTTCCAACTGAGTTACATAGATGCACTAATTCTTCCAGCAACAAGTTATGACAACACATGTGAAAATGTTGTCTACAAGCCAGGTGCAGTGGCTCACGCCTGTAATCCTAGCACTTTGGGAGGCTGAGCGAAAGGATTGCTTGAGTCTGGGGTTTCGAGACTGGCCTGGGCAACTTGGTGAGTCCTTGTCTCTATGATAATTCAAAAAATTAACTGGGCGTGGTGGCACATGCCTGTAGTTCCAGCTACTTGGAAGTCTGAGGTGGAAGGACTGCCTGAGCCCAGCAGGCTGAGGCTGCGGTGGCCACGAGCATGCTACTGCAACTCCAGCCTGGGCAACAGAGTGAGACTACAACTCAAAAAAAAAAGAAAGCCGGGCTTGGTGGCTCAGCCTGTAATCCCGTGCCTTTGGGAGGCTGAGGTGAGTGGATTGCCTGAGACCGCGGGTTTGTAACCCACCTGGGCAACTTGGTGAGACCTCATTTCTACAATAAATCAAAAAATTACCCGGGCGTGGTAGCGCGCACCTGTAGTTCCAGCTACTCGGAAGCCTGAGGCGAAAGGATCACCGGAGCCCAGCAGGCGAGGCTGCAGTGGCCGGGAACGGCCACTGCACTCCAGTCTGAGCGACAGAGTGAGACTCCAACTCAAAAAAAAAAAAAAAGAAAATGTTGTCTATAAGGGAGGCTCAGTACTAAGGGTTTTACATGGTGGCCAGTCATATAAGTACCTTCTGCCTAGCCTGTACCAAAATTCCAGACTCCCACAATGGAAGCAGGTATTCAACATAAACTACATTGTTTGGGAATAGGAAAATTCTCATAAAATCCAAGTTTCAGACACCAGTCAAGGACCAACCTTGTAAGCAGGCCTTTGTAAGGATGTGCAATCATAAGAATGCTATGTTAACCCTTTCTGCACAAAAGCCAAGGAGGAGTCCCATCATAGCCAAGGGGAATATATAACAAATAATCTATAAAGAGGAAAACACTCCATTGCTATGTATCTATGGTCATCTCCAGGCAAAGAGAAAAATGCTGCTTTCTGAGTCAACAAAGCAGTCATGCCACCTAGCATGTTCCATGGTGTAAAAGTTATCAGTATTGGCCAGGCTCGGTGGCTCAGCCTGTAATCCCAGCACTTGGGAGGCTGAGGTGAGTGGATCGCCTGAGCCCGCAGGTTCGAGACCTGCCTGGGCAACTTGACAAGACCTCATCTCTACAACAAATCAAAAATTA